TTTGATGCATACATAAGACACTACATATGTCAAGACATTAGTATTAATAAAGTATCAGTACTGCAGTTCAATATAATATAATATAATATAATAGGTCAATAGTTGTGAGATACGTGAGTTTTGTTCTGTGCATTCAATAGTAATTATTGCTCAGAGGCATTGCTTTGCCAGACAAAAACACTATTAGTATTTGCCACACTTCTTCAGATCTGTTTACAGAGCATGGCCTTTGACCTGCTCTAAAGCATCTGCATGGCTTTATACATCAGAGCTGTGAGTGTCTTCTCTTCTCTGGGATGTCTCCCAGTCTCTTTTGCCTGAACACTTCTGCTTCCTTTGGTCCATTTCTTTGCTCTGATAAAGAATGTAAAGACTTTTTTCCTCTTAAAGCATTTTCTGTTCCTGGAATCATTATGTGAAGGGGTGACTCAAAGCATCCTCTTTTGTGTCAAGATAGTGACATCTACTGGAGTTTAAAGGTATGTCATCAATATAAAGCTAGCTATTTTTTATACTTTTAATTTGACATCTTCCACTGCAATAGATATTTTCAAAACTGGACCTAGAATCAAAATACAGTCAGATTTTTTAAATGAACAGTTGTCCCTTGAGCTAAAAAGAAGGTGGAAAATCTGAAGTAGGTTACCCAGAACTTGAGGATGGTGATTTGAATACTTTAGCCCTCAAACATTTATATTGTTATGTCTGGGAACCATATATGCTACAACACTGACACCAAGTGGCCAGCATTGTTGCAGTCAAGTTCTGAATGTGTTGTGAAATATTATTTTTTAGCTGATTTTTTCTGAAAACTGTAGAAGGAATACCTTTAAACATTGCTGCCTGCCACACATCCCAGGTGCCATTGGATCCCTCGGATGTGCGAGCTGCAAGGTCATCTGTACCTTATATCAAAACCTTATACCAAAGATCTTATACAGGTGATGAAAATGTAGTGAATTTAAGTCTGTTTGGATAAATCTTACACAGAAAGGTAGGAATATTTATCTGTTCCTCTGCATAAGATTGTAAAATTTTGCAGTGAGTACTGATGAAATGTCATAAGATTTTTATGGGATTACCATTAGACTAGGTGAATGTCTATACTAGAAATGTTGAAATTTTTTTTTAATTCTTTGTAGAAAATGGAATCTTTTATAGCATACATATTTTTTTTTAATAAAAATTCTGGCGTTTCTATCCCCTGAGTCCTGTCTGGCTCTGGGGGGCTACTTGTTATTTTGGCTTTTAATTATATGTGTACACGCTTATATATAACACTTATCGATGCATCTATTCAAAATGCCCCACATTCTCACCTATACAAAAAAGGTGAGGACAACACAATTAATAGCAACTTAACACTAAACACAAAACACATGGAATAGTCAGGAAGTGGAAACCAGGGGAAGAAATTATAAAGAGAATACCTGTTACTTCTTATGACTGGGCTATTAGAGGCATCACAGGACAGGTTAAGGGGTTTTAACAGGAGTGAAAATGTTTTATTGACTGTTACTATATTGTTTTAGACTTTGTTTCAGGCTATTATTTGTTTATGGAGTAGATTGTCTGTTAATAAATTCATCCACACTGGAGTGTGTGTTGCTGAGGCGAAGAATTAGATATGACTGTTGAACTTTCCACTAGATTTTATTCAAAACATATTCAAAAATCATTGAAACAAGTGCCTATTAGCTGTATCTTGTGTGCTGCGCCACCAGCAGGTGACAGTATAAGCTCCGAAAAGAGACACTGTCAGTAATGACCCTCAGCAGTAAAATGGAAAAGTCCACTAGGCACATTTTTCATGTTTAGGAGTTAAAAGGTAGTTTCAAAGTGAAGCAATGCTATCTCCTCTCTCTTAGATAAGATGCAGCTCCTAAACATGTTAATCAAATACACAGATTATACACAGATTATAGATTTGTACAGTCTCACCAGATAGTGTATCTATGTTTACTAGTGTAGGTGGTCATAGTGACTTTTGACCACACAAAAATTATATTTTAACAATTTTTTTATTTAGTTACATGAATGAGGACATATTAAGCTAATTACATTTCTATTGCTTTCTTCTTGATCACTAACTCCTGCTTTGTGAGTCCTGTCGGTCCCCTTCAGCTTCTCTCTCTTCCTCTTCTAGCCTGTGTTCAGTAACGTTATTTTTATTAAACTCAGATATACAGTAACTCAAGGATAAAGGCCTTCGTCTTCCCTCTTAGTTACCATCTACAGACTGAGGAATTCAGGGACATAAAATTGCATATCTATATTAGTAAGAACAATATATAGTTCATACCAGAATGTTTTGAAATACTTAAAAGAATAATGAAAACAAATAATCTGTGACGTTTCTTAAACATAGCTGCCTCTTCAGCTTGCTAACATTTGTGCTTTATGGCCTATCTCCTTTTCTTTACCTCATGTGAACCTACAATTAGCTAGCTAACAAACAACTGGCTAAAACTCGATAGTCCGCTATATTGAGCATAATTTGCACAAATCCATATTGTAGGTAGATATCTTCATTCTGTAACTGCTTACTGATTTAGACTGTATATTATATATTTTGAATAAGGCCTAATATTTATTTTAGTTAATGTTTAGCGAAAATCCTGTCAGTGTCAGTTAATGGTTGCTGACGGATGTTACTTCTCAAAGTGAGTAGCACCAGAGACCCTCCCCCAGGTCTCATATAATTGGCTTACAACTTACAAGGTCTGATATGATTGACTGAACCGGCTTTGCACTTTTCCCCAATGCTAAACAGTAGAGGATTGCTGTCTCATGTTGTCTTGTTAGAAAATCTCTGGTAGCACTGCTGAGGCAATGGTGGATTAGAGCAGCAGCATCAGCACCTCCCAAGCTCAAGCTGTGCTATCACAGTATATTGTACATTTGAAGACTTGATGGCACAGTTGAATAATAAAGATTGAATGGAATATACTGTTGTCTTTTGAACTAACACTGTACATTCATTTGGGGAGGGGACTAAAAAAGACCTCTGAAATTGGCCTAGTGATGCCCCTGATGTTCTGTGATGAGAGCAGTAAATTAGTCAGAATTATGTTTTCTTAACTTAGCTGCCGAAAGTTAGCTTGGCAGTCAGATTTTCTGATTGATATTGCAACTGCGATTTACATTTACATTACATTCACAAGTTCAAGCCTGTTAATTTGGCCAGAAAGACCAGAACAACAACTTTTTCTGGACATGAACCCTGAACATGCCAGACTGCTAGTTAGCTGTGATTTGTTTTATTAATTGTGATGTCAGAACATGTTTTTTTTAGTTGCTTGTGGTTGGTCTAACTCTTCCACAGGCAGTTTAAAAGCTCTGACATCAGGTTACTCTTCTCTCCATAAGACAATGTTGTTGATAATATAGGCTATAATTAAAATTGTGGCTCTTGCGATTTCAATATTGCACTTTTTAAAATTGGACAGGGAGTGCTCTTGTGAAAGAAAGTCATTTAATTGAGGGGACAATGCTTACTTCAATAGATTTATCTCTATTACACTTCAAAATGACTTGTAAACTAGGGCAACCAAACAGCTATGCTGCAAAAAAGTGAATTAGTCTGAGGAAGTGTAAGTGTGTTATCATTGCACACACATAAATAAAAGGCTTAACTAAAGCATTAAGTTGAGAGGTAACATATGCTTCATCCATAGGTTTGCACGGCGAGCAGTGGCACCCGATCAAGGCAGAAGAGGCAGCAGCATCAGAACGCACAGGATGGGCAGCTGTTCAACTCGGCAAAGGAAAGAAAGGAAAAACACACAGAGGCAGTTCTGCAATGGGTGATTGATTAATTTGAAGTAGTTTAAATGATTGATTGGTTCAAGTGAATAATTTTGACTAGTTCATGTAGCAACAGCAGTAGTATCAGTGGGGTCAGGTTGTGAGGGTGAGGTTTGCACGGCGTGGGAGAGCAGGAGGCTCAATGTTGGTAAGCCGGTCCAGAGGGCTGGCGAGCAGTGGCACCCGATCAAGGCAGAAAAGGCAACAGCATCAGAACGGACAGGATGGGCAGTTGTTCAACTCGGCGAAGAAAAGAAAGGAAAACACACAGAGAGGAAACACACAGAGAGTCAGTTCTGTAATGGGTGACCGATCACAAATTACAGTGTTAGCAGAGACTCTGGCAGGTATAGAACTGACAGGGAAAACTAATTAACAAAGGCTTGACTATACAAGTACGTTTTTAGCCTAGACTTAAACACTGAGGCTGTGTCTGAGTCCCGAACATTAACAGGAAGACTATTCCAAAACCGGGGGGCTTTGTATGAGAAAGCTCTCCCCCCGACGTAATTTTATTAATTCTAGGTACTAATAGTAAGCCAGCACCTTGTGATCTAAGTAGGCGTGATGGTTCATAGCGAGAGAGAAGTTCACTCAGGTACAGAGGGGCGAGTCCGTTTAGAGCTTTATAAGTCAGCAAGAGAATTTTATAATCAATCCGAAATTTAACTGGCAACCAGTGTAAGGTTGATAAAACTGGGCTGATATGGTCGAACTTTCTGGTTCTTGTAAGGACTCTGGCTGCAGCGTTCTGGACCAACTGAAGCTTGTTAAGGCTTTTGCTGGGACATCCAGCCAGCAGGGCATTACAGTAGTCTAGCCTTGAAGTAATAAATGCATGAACTAACTTTTCTGCATCCTGTAGAGATAATGCATTTCTCAATTTAGCAATATTGCAGAGATGCGGGAAGGCTGTTCTAGTAATATTAGTTATATGTGCGTCGAAGGACAGATCAGGGTCTATAATGACACCAAGGCTTTTTACAGATAAGCTTGATGCAACTGAGAAATTGTTAAGTTTAAGTGTAAAATCAGACAGTTTGTTTCTAGCTGCTTTTGGACCAAGAAGCAGAACCTCTGTTTTATCCGAGTTTAGAAGGAGAAAGTTACTCAACATCCAGTCCTTTACATCTTTTATACAGTCTTCAATCTTGCTAAGTTTAATTCTATCATCTGGGTTGCTTGCTAAATATAACTGAGTGTCATCGGCATAGCAGTGGAAGTTTATGCCGTGTTTACTGATAATGGTGCCTAGTGGTAGCGTATATAATGTGAATAAAAGTCTATCAAACGTGGCAAATTTATTTGCTGTGTGTCACTGGGAGTTGTTTACATGCTTCAGAATTGTGCTATATTACAGCTGCCAAAAAGGTGAACCAAATAGTACAGGCATGGATTCTGTAACTTATACACACAATCAAAAACCAGTTATGATGAAAAAAGTTGCTTTTTTGGTACGAAACTATCTGCTGTATTGCTGTCAAAATTCGCAATGATGTTGCTGTGGGAATATGAGAATATGACTAAAAGCATGTCTTACTTAAACTTGTATAACTCTGTGTTATATATAAAATATTCATGTTGGATTTTAACCCTTGTTAGTTTGCACCTCGCTCTGCTCTAATATCAGTTCAAAAAAGGAAATCAGAAAAATTCAATAACAAAAGATCTCAGCTAAAATATTGTGAAGGAAATTAACAGAGCAGTTCTTAAATTTAATTAAAACAACAAAAATAATACTTCAGAAAGATATTATTACTAATTAACACAATTTACATATTTAATGGTTACAACATACTTAATAACTGTAATAACAAGCATTAAGGGAACATGGAATTGATAACATTAGGCAAAGATAGGAAGGTAAAGCTTAAAAACTAGGGCACATAGATTTACTTGAAATATTCATAAGAGAAGACAGTCTGAACTGAAATCAGCATCTGGAATGTACATGTTGGCTTAACACGAACATCCAGATAGTCTAAGCAGAATGAACCAATAGCCTTAGACAGTTAAGGACGACAGTTATCTAGCATAACACTAGCACTACGTTAACACCTGCTTAACAATCTAAAATACCTGAGGAGACGTCCCCTTGCTAATATACTTGTGTTCGACTTGCAGTTATTTCTTCAAAATGTGTTGTCCAGGTCACGTACTCATAATGTGCCTCTTCTTTCTAAAGTATCATTGTTATCAACACTGACAGTTTATGGATTCTCTTATAAAGCCACAGTCTCAATCTCCTGGACCGGTCTCAGAATAATGGATTTTTTGTAGGAGAAGCGGGTCAGGTTGACTCGAGTGTAGAATCTTTCTTTCTCCTCGAGAGAACAGTACAGGGAATATGTGAACTTGGCCAATACCACCGTACAGAAGATCTCTAGCAATAACATTACAGTATAAGAAATCATCAGAGCTTTACATGATAAGGCTTTATCAGCTCGAGGGGTGGAGTAGATGGCTTGATGCTGAGGGTCGTGGAACCCAGAACAGATGAAAGTGCTGGGGGTGCTGGAGACTGGCGTTGTTTCCCTAGTGGTGCTGATGATTGTAGTCAGATGAGTAGTTGTTGTTGGCTCTGTAGTAATTGGTGTTGTGGTCGTTGCTGTAGTGGTGGGTACTGTAGTTATTACTGTAGTGGTGGGCACTGTGGTCATTGCTGTAGTAGTGGGTACTGTGGTTGTTACTGTAGTGGTAGGTACTGTGGTCGTTGCTGTAGTGGTGGGAGCTGTGGTCGTTGCTGTAGTGGTAGGTACTGTGGTCATTGCTGTAGTGGTGGGTACTGTAGTTATTACTGTAGTGGTGGGCACTGTGGTCATTGCCGTAGTAGTGGGTACTGTGGTTGTTGCTGTAGTGGTGGGTATTGTGGTCGTTGTCGGCAGTGTGGTTGTTGCAGTCGTTGTTCGGATTGGTGTAGTTGTGATAAGAATTGTTGTGGAAGCTGTAGTGGTGGATGGTGGTACTGTAGTTTCAAGTAAAGTTGTAAGCTGAGTGGTTTCTGGGGTGGTGGTAAGTGGAGTTGTGGTCAAAGTTGTAGTTGGTGGTAATGTGGTTGTTGGTGACTGTGTGGTGATCTGTGTTGTCATAATAGTGGTTGTTGAAGTTGTTGTAGTGGTTGGAAGAGTTGTGGTTGTTGGCAGGGTTGTTGTGGTTGTTGGCAGGGTTGTTGTGGTTGTTGGCAGAGTTGTTGTGGTTGTTGGCAGGGTTGTTGTGGTTGTTGGCAGAGTTGTTGTGGTTGTTGGCAGGGTTGTTGGCAGGGTTGTTGTGGTTGTTGGCAGGGTTGTTGTGGTTGTTGGCAGAGTTGTTGGCACTGTTGAAGGCACAGTTGTGGTTGTAGGAGTAGTTGTTGTAAGCAGAGTGGTGGTCAGCAAAGTTGTAGGACATATGAGTTGATCCGCTGTTAAAGAAAGAATTGTCTGACCTCTCAAATCCACAGGATACTCACAGCGTGCACCGTCTGGAGAGGGAGGGCGTAGTTTGTCCTTGTTTGCTTTCATCCACGTGTAGAATGACAGCAAGTTGCAGTTGCAGTGCCAAGGGTTGTCATTCAGATACACCTTACTGAGTTTTGGAAGAGAATCAAAAACATCTTCTGGAAGGCTTCTCAGGTTGTTTTTAGCCAGATTGAGTGTTGAAAGGGACGTTAGTTGTGCAAAGTCATCTGATTTCAATGACTCAATTATGTTTTTCTGAAGATTAAGCTCAGAAAGTTTCTCCATCCCCTCAAAAAATTCTCCAGAGAGATGTGAAAAGTGATTAGAGGACAGGTCTAACTTCTTAAGCTTCTTCAATGGGCTAAAAACCCTGGCAGGTAAGCTTGTAAGGTTATTGTTGTTGAGACTCAATTCAGTCATTTTTGGCATTTCTCCAAAAAGGACAGGGGGCAGACTGGTGAGCTGATTGTGATGCAGAGTTAACGTTTTGAGTGCAGAGAAATCCACAAATAGTTCAGGTGGCAGCTCAGTTAAGAGATTATCGTTCAGAAACAATTTTATCAACTTGTTTTTATGTGGGAACAGATTTGGTTGTATGCGTGTGATTCTGTTGCCATATAGAGAAATTTCCTTCAGGTTCTGGAGATTATCAAAAATTCCGTCTGGCATAGACGTCACCTGGTTGTCATAGATCCTAAAAACCTGCAGTTTCTTGAGATTGGAGAAAAGAGATGTTGAAACAGACGTGAGGTTGTTCTTAGCAAGATGAAGCTCTTGGAGATTCTCCAGGTCATCAAATGTTCCCTCTTCAATCGATGAAATCTCATTCATATGCAGCTGCAGTTTTTCAAGAGTCTTGATGCCATCAAATAGTCCCCTTTCTAACCTCTGGATCTTGTTTCCTTTCAGAATTAAAGTATTAAGGTTGTTAAGATCTTTAAAAACTCCAGTGGGTAGTGATGTCAGATTTGTTCCTGAAATCTCAATGAGAGCCAGCTTCTCTAAACCTTCAAATGCACCTTCCTCGATAGAGAATGTTGGTGTACCAAGAAATTCCACTTTCTCTAGTTGAGGGTTTTTGGAAAATGCTCCTTTTGGTATGACCCCAATCTGACTGCCAATAAAAAAGACCTCTTTGCTTCCGTCTTTCAGGATTTCAGGAATTGTTGTTCTGTCCTTGTCATAGACATCTTGATATGGCTCCGCAGCAGGGTCTTCAGCTGCACAACAACAAAGCAAATGGAGAAGAATGCTGAAGTATAGACCTGCTCCCATCAGCATGTTTCCACCTGCAAAAGAAACGATAAGCAGTGGGAGAAATCATGTAAATAATCTAAAAATCTAATTTAGGAACACTGGAATTAGTTTAAAATGACAGTATATTTTGTTGTTTTTGCTCAACTACACAAAGTCCTACATCACTAGTATTTGGTACATTTATTGTTTTTCTTTTGAGCTGTGTTTATGTGCAGAATTAATCAAAATCCGAGTCATATGAAAATGGCAAACTCAAGCTACACTTTAAGCTTTTTGTCATTGCAGATTAAAATGAATACAAAGTAAATAAAATGATTCTCATTGGTGTACTCTGTCCTGGATTTCCCCAGAAAAATGTTTTACCTTCTCCTTTACAGTATGACAGCGAATCATAATCATAGAACATTTTTTAGTGAGTGTCTACATATGTTGAGTTAGAAATAAGTTTTACCTTAAACATTCCCTTTCCAGTGTGATCTCTGAATGCTCTTGTAGAGTCGAATGTCAGCATATCCTCTTGCGCAGCGCTTTTATCTCCTCGCCCCAACATTCACCCTGGCGTATGTCTTATGAACAGCTTAAGAGCCTTGGCCAGTTGACTTTCTGTTTTTAGAGATAAGAGAATGAAACTTACACCTCCTCATAGAATCGCATTGCACATGTTTTTTATTTTAAATTTGAGTTTTGTTTATGGAATTGGATTTATCCCTACTTCACCTATTTCTAACAGCTAATTCACTTTATTTCATTGTTTTATCTTGACATCGCTCCAGTTTTTAGTCATTGCACAGTACATACTATGTATGTATGTATGTAAAAATTAGACTAGGATAGTGGTTGGGTAATTAATGTCTACATTGAAGAACAAGAAAATATTAGTTAACATTGCTGGAGATATGGAATTAAAATAGTAGCATTAATAGTAGCAACCAGGATTAATTGCGTTCATCTTATTTGCTTGAAGTATTTTTTTTTTCATTTAAAAAGCAATGCAGTTTGTAATAGCTGTATGAATGGACAAAGGTAGCTCCATCAGAATTTATTCATTTCTTTGTGAACACAGATTCCAGTTTTCGTGGATGATGTTCAGTGATAGCAACAGTGACTGCATATTCCAACTAATGGATGTAAATATTATATGTCATATACACCGTCAATGGTTATAACTCCTTCATGATTGTAGCCTCTCGCTCTTGTTCATACAGCTGGTGGATTCTTGTTGCAATGAAGGCTCTTAAAAAGGGATCTGTAGTTTCCACTTTACTGTTGTTTTTGTTAGTTTGTTGCTCATTGATTTGTCCATCGGTCTCCTACAAGAACTATCCAGCATAGTTTGCTAAAGGCTTTGAGGATTTTAAAAAGTAATAAGAATGCATTAAAAGCTTTTTAAAAGCTATTAAAAGGCATTTTAAAGCTATATTTGAGCGAGTGGGCTACAGTCAGTGGTTCTATCATTGACATTTATTAACACATTTACTTTGAGTACCCTCCTTTTTAGGCATAAGTTATACCTCACTATTGTTACTACAGTTGTTACTTAAAATAAGGAATTATGAATATAATGTACACATAAGAAGTTATTAACAATTAATAGCAGTGTTGAGGTAACATGAAAGGCAAGAATGTATAGAGCATCTGTAAATGCTCTAATCATGCCACTGTCCCACTCCAGGCAAAACATTGTACCACCCCTGGCAAATTCACAAGATCACAATCAATAAGCAACAACACACAAAAGCAAATGCCATGGCCACAAACACACAATAAATATTGTAGTCCTAGCATATCTGTACTTTGTGGTATATTTGTGAAGAAGCAATTGTGAAATGGGCTAGCTACATGTATACATCTATACAACACATCTGCTATGCATGATTCAATACAAAAATCACACTCCAAACAAGTCTGCATGATACCTGGTAGCAAATTCAATACTTTATACAAAAGATTTTAGACACATAAACCCCTCTCACTGTTTACCTGAACTGACCTTTCAGTAATGATAGGGAACAAAGCATGCATATATTGTGATCTCTCTGCAGCCAATTAGTATAAAATGATAGAAAAATAGAAGCTAATGTCTACATATTTAGCAAATAATGGTAAAAGTATGATTATTTGTATTTTAGGGATAACATTCTCCATTACATCTTGAGAAATACTTCCAGTGTTAGCTAAGCTAGCCAGCAAACAGCGACTATCACAAGCAACATCATTTTCTCCACCACTTTACTCCTCCTGGCAGGGACAGTAAGAGCAAAGAGTGGATTTATTTAGGAGTAGCCAGCCTGTTTACAAACTACTGCAGTGGATGTTGGCTTTTAGAATGTGTCTGTGCTTTTCAATCAATGTCAGTTCAGTTTAATCTCATTATTTGTTTTAGCTACACATGGCACTAAATCTATTGCGTTAACAATGATAGATTTTGATAGCCAATCAGAATAGCTAATTAGCTAATTTAGCCACATACCAGATGTGTTGTTTTTTTTTTATGTTCTTTTCTCAGGTTCAATAGGTAATGCAGTGTTCCACACTGTTCTACACCTCTTTTTTGTGTCTTCGGTTTAAGGAAATGTATAAATTTTTTATGGACGCACTGATGTGGTATTTGTGCGCTGATCCTGACAGGAAAATCAGCTACTCTACTGTACATGTTGGCTTTATATTTTGGCTATACATATTGGATTTGGTGAACTAAAATGACACAAATCTAAACCTCTGAAGTCACAGATTATTGTTTATTTTTAAATGTTGAAGTTCACATTACTTAAGTAAGTAATTTGTCACCACCTCCTACGTTGTCATGTTATCTGATGTGTATTATTCAGCATTCATTGATGTAACTGGAACATTGACAGTTAATGTTGATTACTACAGAGCCACGCTCTCTATGTCCTGGACTGGTCTCAGTGAAATTGGCTTTTTGTAGGAGAAACGTGTTAGGATAACTCTTTCTTTCTCCTCAGGAGAATTATAAGGGGAGGAGTACATGAATTTTATCAATAATACTGCACAACAGACCACTAGCAGCAACATTGTGATACAGGAAATCATCAAAATCTTATATGACAAGACTCTGTCTGTCTTGGTTCGTGCTGTGTTCATTGGTGTAGTGAGTCGTGCTGTGGTTGTTACAGTTGTAGTGAGTTCTGTGGTCACTTCTGTAGGGGGAGGAACTGTGCTCATTTCCGCACTGATGAGTACTGTGGTCATTGCTGCAGTAGTGGCTAGTATGGTTGTTGCGGTAGTGGTGGGCACTGTGGTTGTTGCAGTAGTTGTTAGGATTGTTGAAGTTTGCTTGGATGGTGTTGCTGTAGTTTTAAGTAGATTTGTAACCTGAGTGGTTTCTAGGTTGGTGGTAGGTGGAGCGGTTGTTGGCAGTGAGGTTGTTGGTGACTGTGTGGTGAACTGCGTTGTAATAGTGTTTGTTGTAGCCTCAGTTGTAGTGGTCGGAAGAGTTGTGGTTGTTGTCAGGGATGGTGTGGTTGTTGGCAGAGTTGTTATGGTTGTTGTCAGCGATGGTGTGGTTGTTGGCAGGGTTGTTGTGGTTGTTGGCAGGGTCGTTGTGGTTGTTGTCAGGGATGGTGTGGTTGTTGTCAGGGATGGTGTGGTTGTTGGCAGGGTTGTTGTGGTTGTTGTCAGGGATGGTGTGGTTGTTGTCAGGGATGGTGTGGTTGTTGGCAGTGTTGTTGTGGTTGTTGGCAGAGTTGTTGGCACTGTTGAAGGCACAGTTGTGGTTGTAGGAGTAGTTGTTGTAAGCAGAGTGGTGGTCAGCAAAGTTGTAGGACATATGAGTTGATCCACTGTTAAAGAAAGAATTGTCTGACCTCTCAAATCCACAGGATACTCACAGCGTGCACCGTCTGGAGAGGGAGGGCGTAGTTTGTCCTTGTTTGCTTTCATCCACGTGTAGAATGACAGCAAGTTGCAGTCGCAGTGCCAAGGGTTGTCATTCAGATACACCTTACTGAGTTTTGGAAGAGAATCAAAAACATCTTCTGGAAGGCTTCTCAGGTTGTTTTTAGCCAGATTGAGTGTTGAAAGGGACGTTAGTTGTGCAAAGTCATCTGATTTCAATGATTCAATTATGTTTTTCTGAAGATTAAGCTCAGAAAGTTTCTCCATCCCCTCAAAAAATTCTCCAGAGAGATGTGAAAAGTGATTAGAGGACAGGTCTAACTTCTTAAGCTTCTTCAATGGGCTAAAAACCCTGGCAGGTAAGCTTGTAAGGTTATTGTTGTTGAGACCCAATTCAGTCATTTTTGGCATTTCTCCAAAAAGGACAGGGGGGAGACTGGTGAGCTGATTGTGATGCAGAGTTAACGTTTTGAGTGCAGAGAAATCCACAAATAGTTCAGGTGGCAGCTCAGTTAAGAGATTATCGTTCAGAAACAATTTTATCAACTTGTTTTTATGTGGGAACAGATTTGGTTGTATGCGTGTGATTCTGTTGCCATATAGAGAAATTTCCTTCAGGTTCTGGAGATTATCAAAAATTCCGTCTGGCATAGACGTCACCTGGTTGTCATAGATCCTAAAAACTTGCAGTTTCTTGAGATTGGAGAAAAGAGATGTTGAAACAGACATGAGGTTGTTCTTAGCAAGATGAAGCTCTTGGAGATTCTCCAGGTCATCAAATGTTCCCTCTTCAATCGATGAAATCTCATTCATATGCAGCTGCAGTTTTTCAAGAGTCTTGATGCCATCAAATAGTCCCCTTTCTAACCTCTGGATCTTGTTTCCTTTCAGAATTAAAGTATTAAGGTTGTTAAGATCTTTAAAAACTCCAGTGGGTAGTGATGTCAGATTTGTTCCTGAAATCTCAATGAGAGCCAGCTTCTCTAAACCTTCAAATGCACCTTCCTCGATAGAGAATGTTGGTGTACCAAGAAATTCCACTTTCTCTAGTTGAGGGTTTTTGGAAAATGCTCCTTTTGGTATGACCCCAATCTGACTGCCAATAAAAAAGACCTCTTTGCTTCCGTCTTTCAGGATTTCAGGAATTGTTGTCATGTCCTTGTCATAGACATCTTGATATGGCTCCGCAGCCGGGTCTTCAGCTGCACAACAACAAAGCAAATGGAGAAGAACGCTGAAATATAGACCTGCTCCCATCAGCATGTTTCCACCTGCAAAAGAAACGATAAGCAGTGGGAGAAATCATGCAAGTCATATTTTACAAAACAGTGTTGTTTGTTAATTCTTTTGTGTTATTCATATAATTCACTTCAACATTCTAAAATCTTGCCCAAAACTTGATTGGGGAACATGGAGGGTTGTAAGAAGCAATGACATTTTCCATGAAAACAACTTTCCTGACAAGTAACCTGTTCCGTATATCTTGACCAGTGTCGTGCTGTGGTAAAAGAGAATGAGTTTGATTACAGACGACCTGCAACTGAGTAGAAACCTTTACATCAACATAACATTTCTAATTTTAATTCAATTACATTGTCTTGGATTTTGCATATATTAACTTTTAGTACTACTTCAGTCTTTGTCCTCATTAAATGAGTTTTGAAACCATAAACATGATAAAGATACACACATATATATATATACACACACACCCACACACACACATACACATTTTCTAAGCCTCTTATCCTTTTGGGTCATGGGGGGCTGCTGGCGCCTATCCCAGCGGTCACTGGGTGGAATGCAGGATACACCCTGGACAGGTTGCCAGTCCATTGCAGGGATAGTAAAGATAGTTATATAAAACTTAAGAAAAAGTCAGGCAAATGCATTTGACCTAAGACATTCATTTAATAAGAACAGAACAAAAATTGTGTTAACAGGATTCATCTGTACACGATCACCTGCATCCATGGCTGCTGCTGACCCGTTGTGTTTCATGCTAATGCTCATTATTCAGTGATTGCATTGAAATGATTCAAATTTAACTGAGTTATTCTTAATTTATAGAAGTGAGGAATGGAAGCCTGGCTATTTAAGATGTTTATTATCATCATCTCTAACCTTCCAGAGTTATTGCTTTCCTTTAGCTGTTCATTTGACTGACATAATTACTTATACATATATATAACTATATATTACATTGTTTTACATAGTTACATCATGAATTACATTTACATTCTATTTACATTGTGTATTGCCACACATGAATCTGCATTTCTGGCTTTTTTCACTTGTTTCATTGGTACCAAAACTGGGGAGGGACTATCTCTTTACTGAATTTATAACAGAAATGACATGGCATTATTATTAATATCTTTTAATAATACTGTTTATTTTCGGTTCTAATATTGGCACATAAAGCTTTAGACTTATTGAATTGCTGTGTAAGTGCTATTAAATAGTAAAAATAAGTATTAAGCTATTTGATAATAATAATAATAATAATAATAATAATAATAATAATAACAATAATAATAAAGCATATGCTAAGCTTTGTTGGTGTGAAAAGATTTAAAGCAAAGCCTTTTTAGATAAATATAATTTGCAGTATGAAGTGTATCCATTCAAAATTGGAATGAAAGTTAGTTTATCATGCCATCTAGTGGCTAAATAACATAATTACCTACCTACTATTACTCTAAACATAATATTTCTTAGCAATGTCATTGGATTCAAATGCAATAAAATAGGAATAATGTCAGAAAAAGGAATTCTGGAGGAAGAAAATAGATTAGGTTATATAATGTTCTAGCCTATGGCATGAAGTATAGAAAGCTTCAAAAGAGTTGAATGCAAAGATGGAAGATGAACACATAAAGATTAAACAAATTATGGGGTGAGAATATACATAATCTATGTGGAATAATGTTGTTTAAGGTCTTCAAAAGTTCATCATATTACCCTTAAATGGAGATGTGACAAAAGAATGAAGAACAGCACTCTAGTGTGAAAAAGTATATAGTTGACAAGGTTATAAAGCCAGAACAAAGATGTAATAGGAGATGAGTATGCTGGATAATTCACTTAAAGGCCAAAGCACACTGACCAAACATTCTGCAACAAACACCGGCATTCTAATTCTGCATTTGCCTTTAGAATGTCCAGAAAACCACCTGATAAACCAAAGAAATCAGAGTGACTGAAGAAAGAACATTCTATATCTCTGTAGAACACAGATGACAAACCAATCAAGCTTTTCTGTTTGTTTAAGTTTGTGTTGATTTGGTCAGTGTGCTCTGGACTTAAAACAAGCAGAACCTTACACATCAACTGTGTACGTTTACAGGAAAATGTCAAACTTTAAAATATTTTAAATAGCTAAACATTATAAAAATATATAAAATGAAAAACAGCACAACAAAAATGAATGGAGACAGTATGTTAAGTGTTTTGAGCTGTAGGGAAGTGCACACAGGGTAAAATGCATTTTTTTGTTGTAATGTAGTTAAACAGATTAAATAGGTAGAACATTATGTTATTGTTTTTCCCATATAATCATTATCTGCACATCAGATAATTACACATTATCTTTACAGTAATTGGACACATTTTTGTTTCAGATTCAACATGCTATGTTTGTGCCATAAAAGTAACTTTTTCCTTCATAATTGTTATCACCGGATCGTGTGTATAGGTGTATTCATATCTAGGTTATCTTAATCACCCTCTTGATAGCTGTCAACACCCCTTTGAAGCATTTAACAAATGCCCACTGAGAGCTAGTCAGGCCAAAAGTGCAGCCTCCACAGTGTTAACACAGTGTTATAATTAAACACATGCCACATTCAGCTGAATGATAGGTACACAAAAAGTGTTTGCATTTTTATTTTTAGCAAAGAATTATTATTATTTATTATTTTTTATAAATCCTATTCTAAAAACGTTGGGACAATATGTGAAATGCTAATAAAACAGAATGTAGTGATTAGTAGCACACAAACACAATATTTGATGTTTTACCTTATGTACTTTATTGTATGCCTGCAACACATTACAAAAATGTTGGAACTGGAGTGTTTCCAAAATGTGACACCACCTTTCCTTTTAACAACACTTAACAATCGTTTGGGGACTGATCCGGTTTTAAATTTGATTTTTTTTTGCTATTCATCTGTTATACAAGTCTTCCTCTGTGCAACTGTACAGGTCCCCCATTGCTGTGTTTTGCACTCTCTGATTATGCAGCCATGCTGTTTCGACACACGCAGAATGTGGCTTCATGTTGTAATATTGAAATGAGCATGCCTGCTCCAAAAAAGACTAGTCTAGAAGGCAGAGCATGTTGCTCAAAATGTGTTCAGCGCCAATAGTGCCTTCACAGATATTCAAGTTACCCATTATTACAGCCTCATACCATGACAGACCCTGAACTTTTGAACTTTACGCTGGTAACAATCTGGTTGAACACAATTTCCATTATTTCTATAAACAAACTGAAAGGTTGACTCGTCAGACCACAATACATGTTTTCACTGTGCATTCTCTGAGCTTGAGCCCAGAGAAGTTGGCAGCATTTGTGGATATTGTTAACATATGATTTCCGCTGTACAAAGTACAGTCTTGTATTCATGTATGCAGCAACAGAAGGTGTTTACTGACAGTGGTTTGTCAAAATATTTCCGAGCCCATATGGTGATATTCATCACAGAAACATGTCAGTTTTAAATGCAGTGCATGATGCAGTAAATGAACAGTTGTCAGTTAGCTCTGGCACTTTACGTGCTCAGTTTAAATTTAAATTGTTAACTTAGTTGATACCTTTCATATACAGAATGTCAGAATATTGATGTTAAGTTATGTGAAGTGTTTGCCCAGACTGCAGTTCACTGCTATAGTTCCAGCATTCGATAAACTATCATTAACTTTTCTAAGTCTAAAAAATAAGAATTTGATGTTATTGGATCTTCATATTAAAACACTGCACATGTTTGGTTTTGAAGAAGGAATTTTAGTGATCTAGACTTGCTTTAGTGTTGGAAAAACATAAAGCAAACTGAATAGTTAATTGAGAAGGAAAGAAAAAAAATAACAAAAGAGCACAAGTTATAATGTTATCCAGGCCAGCCTACTTACATGAAGAGACAAAATCATTTTCATTTCAGTATCTAATATGTAAGGGAAAACGGAATGTGTAATAACAAAGGAAGAGTTTGAAGGTCGTGGTAGTTCCTTTATCTTATCATTTCAAAGTCTTCTGTAAAACAGCTTGAAGAAGTACAAATACTACAAACACACAGAATCCAGAAAACAAAATCAGTATTACAGTTACTTTTACCATGAAGCATGTATTAAGTGAGAAAATAAAAACGCATGCACACTCATGTTTTGTGAGCATGGTTTTCACTGTAGGGGTAACAATGTATCATGATGCAAAATGCGACATTGTGCGCTGTGGACAATATGAGTTCTAGTTATTATGCCATCTAATGTGACTGCATTGTTTGAACACCTCATTTTGCAAGCAACCAGCACCAATCAACAACCCACACCAGCCACACTCCTCCTGCTTTTCTGCTTTAATTAATAACATGTGCAACAAGATGGATGAAGTTAACAATTTTGCTTCAGTCATGCTCAAAATATTGAATCCCGAAACCAGTGCTGTGAATCAAATCGAATCGGCTTGTGGTTTGTGTATCATTACACCCTTATTATTTACTGACATATCTTATTCAAAATTATTAACTAATGTGTGTTTTTTTAATCAAAATGCAATAACTCATTACTACCAGATATGAAGTTTGATTATGAGATGTTTCATTTCTCATTTTATTGACATATCATCTTTGTCAAATACAGTTACTTTCATGTAAAATTCATTTAACCAAAAAGATTAAAGAAATAATTTTTTGTCATCATAGATATTTGATATGAAAAGGAGAAAAGAAATGCATATCACTTCTTTGACCAGTCAAACACAGTACAGAGGCAAAAGTAAAATCTCTAAAAGCAGTCTCTTAAAGTATAATTTACATTATTGTTAATATATACATTACTGTGCAAAAGTCAGAAACTGTCCTTCATTGATTTCATTTCTAGTCAAAATAACCATTAAGTACAAATTATTCTTTTTCAAGAGATCAGTATCTGAGCAGATTATATATATAGGATAAACCACTTCCATAAGGAGGGAGAAAGTTAAAGTGAAAACACAGGACTTTCCAAAACTGGAGTTCAAATTATTTGAAGTTATAGAGAAAATGGGACTCCTAATAACTGTGCAAGGCCTGATAGACCACCATCACTGTCACCGTTAGATGAACAGTACTTAAAGCTTTCATTTTTGAGAATCAAGCTCCACTTTTCCTTCAGATCTGAAAAAAAAAAAACAGGTTTCTGTCTGTCCCTCCACTTTGAGAAGACAACTCAACACTGTGGGTCTGAAAGGATGTGCAACTGTCAAGAAGCTATTACTGAGAAAAGAAAGTAGACAAAAAAGTAGAAAACAAACCAAACAAAGAAGCTACTGATGTTCTCAGAATAATGGAATGTCCACCCCAGAGTTCAGACCTCAACATCACTGAATGTGTTTGGGAATATCTGTATCGTGAGATGCTGAAAATGCAACTAACTTCTAAGACTGAACTTTGCAGGTCTCTTTGAAAACCTGACAACAAGTCTGCTGAGAAAAGTGGAAGCTGTAATAAAAGCAAGAGTGGACACACTAAATGGTGATGTTATATTTAGTTGAGACTTAATTGTTGTTTTCTTTCCGACACAGAAATGGAATATTTTGTACTTAATGGACATTTTAAATAGATTAATGAAGGATGCTGTATGCACAGTACTGCATTTACTTATTTATTTATTTGGTGAAAAACCCTTTTCACTGTCCTGCCAGCACTAAAAAGGGCACTCCACACAGGTTAATAAGCAGTTCTTTTCAGCTCTTTTTCACCTGTTGCAATAAATTTTAACATAGTGTGAAAATGAGTGATTTGTATAAGCCATTTTTTTTGTCTTACTTGATAGCACACCAGTGTGCTACTCCACAGCAAATAGTAGAACACGCATTTAAACTTTGCTCTACTTTAGATAACCGAATTCGGATTTGGATGGCGTAAATCTCGACTTCCCCGCTTGTTCCTCCTCCAGCACGCAACACAGATGATGATACTGACAATGGCTACAGTACAGACTACAGCAATAATGATTATGTGGAGATTATTAGACATTGTCTCAACCTCTCTCTGATCATTGCTGGTGTCCTCTCCTTTCTCTGAGGATGATGTGGAGTTAGCAGGTGCTAGGGTGCTCCTTCTGGGTGGGGGAGTGTGAGGCCTTCGTCGTTTTTCTGTGGGAGTGACTGGTTCATTTCCAGTGGTTTCAGAAGTGGGTGTTTGAGAAATGTCATCGCTAAGATTTATTATACTGACACCTCTCAAGTGTGAAGGACTAAGACATGTAAGAGATGTGATGTTTTTTACTTTTTCTGGGTACTTTCTAAGCCAGTTGCGAAGCGGTAAAATGTTATGGTCACACTTCCAGGGATTTACAGCAAGCACCACATTGTCAACATTGGTTAGTGAGTGTAAAAGCTCCTGTCTTAAATATGGTAGAGAGTTATTTTGAAGCTCCAGCTGAAATAGGTTGGAGACACCATCAAGAAGTTTCCCTGGAAGGTCCTCAATCATATTGTTTTCCAGTGATATGTTGACCAACTTTGGGAGGCCTCGAAACAGTCCTTCTTCAAGGGTGACCAGGCGGTTGGTGTGCAGTGAAATTTCTTCCAGCTGAGTCAGTCCATTAAAGGCTCCAGGTGAGACATGTGAGATCTGGTTTCTGCTGAGCACCAAAAGACGTACTTGAGTTAAATTGCTGAACACATTTTCCTCAAGCTGGGTCAACATGTTGTCGTACAGCCACAGGTCCTGGAGGGGCATGAAGCCAAAGGTTCCAGCAGACAAACTTCGCAGCTGGTTGTCATACAGTGAGATCTGGCGCAGATTGGGAAGATTCAAGAAGATGCCCTCCGGAAGTGAAGATAACTGATTATTAGAGAGATAGAGCTTTTGCAGCTTCTGCTGATGTGCGAAAAGTTCTGCAGGTAAGTGCGTGATAACATTGTTCTGCAGGTGCAGCATCTCGAGGTTAACCAGTTGCTCAAAGACATTGCCTGGAAGCACTTTTAGACTGTTGTATTGGAGGGACAAAACTTTAAGCTTGCTAAGTCCATGAAAAGTCCCCATGTACAGTTCCTTAATGCTGTTTCTCTGCAACATGAGCTGCTCCAAATTTATTAGACCCTGAAATGCCTTCTCTGGAACAGAACTGAGCTTGTTTTTGCTCAGGTCTAAGGTCTTCAGAGCTTGAAGAGGAGTTAGCAAAGATGTAGAGAGGTCATTTAATTTGTTGTTGCTCAGTGTGAGGGATGAAAGCAGCTGTAGGTTCTGTAACAGAGTCTCTGGTAGAGAAACTAGTTCAGTTCCTGTTAACCCTAAGGCCCGAAGATTGTGGGTCTTGTCGAACGTGTGGGGCTGTACTTCACTTATTCTTGAATCCTTGATGACAAATATCGAGAGAGCCTCAGAAAATGCATCAATGTCGGCTGGTTTCAGTGAAGAAATGCTGGTATTGGAAATATATAGAGCGCTTGTAGTTGCAGGAATGGCCGATGGAAAGTCTTGAATTTCATAGCCTTGGCATATAATTTTGTTGTCTTTGCATTTGCATTGTGGCGGACAACCCCAAACAGCTGCATTCAGAGCACAAATGCCAAAAATGATGCAATGTCCAAGATCCATGGAGACCTGAAAAAGAATTAAGCATATTTTCAGTGACCTATTTCATTAGTGGCTTATGATAAACAGTAAAAACAATTAATAAAAGCTGGGAAATATCTCTAACACTAAATTTCACCTTCATATGTTCAATCTGGAATGTAAATCAGAAAAATCTATAAGCAAATGGTCAGAACCTAGCAAAACCACAGTAAGAATCATTGCTTTCTTTTACAGCCCAGGTTCTGTTTCATTTGTAGGGAATAAACAGATGTATACTATCCAAGACTGTTATGTCTTTAGGTGTCTTGTCCTGCCTTTTTACCCCTTAAAACTACCTGGTAATTTCCAAATTACTTTCCTGCATAAACACTGTAGTGAATGTCAGTGTTGAGACCTTTAATATTGAGAACCTGTTGGACATTTCAGTGTAGTTTAATCAGGTTCTCTGCATACTTACCATCATTTTACCCAAAATAATTACATGGTCTAGCAAATGCTTTCAGTCTGGAATTACACTGTGAAAAAAAAAAAAAACAGTTGAGAGAACTCAACATTTTTAAGGCAACATGAGGCACTAAGATTTTTGAGTTTTCTCAACAGCAGATTGTGTAGTCATCTTTACTAATGTTTATATGTTTAGATTTGTTTAGGCTTAGATTTGTTTGTTCTTCCAACATACGGCTGCCAATGAAATATAACATTTTTTAAAAGGGGAAACAGCCTACATTACATTTATGTCTGTTGGAAGATGCCATGATCCAGAATGACTTACAGTCTAATCATGTCACTGAGGTAACCACCATGGCATTAGGGTTCTTTGAAGACTCAAAATCCAAAGACTTGTGGTTTGTCCCAAGCAAAGAACTGAATCTCAGTCTGCTGGGTGGAGGTCAGCTGTGTTACTCAAAAATTCCGATTTTACTGCAAGCCTAGACCTGGACAAACACAGCAGTGTCCCACCACAAACACTCTTGTGCTTATCATTTAGACATTTACTGAGGGCACTGTCAGGGATATTCATCCTACTTTTGCTTGTGTTCTTTGTTATTATTGCTTTTGTTTGTTTACTATTTATTTATGTTTTGACACTGTTCCTTAGTTACCTTTTTGTTTTAGGTTTCTTGCCATATACAACCTAAATGTGTGTAAACAAGAAATGCAACGAACATAGCCTAATATCCAAGTTCCTCTTTGTCTGTATTGCGCAATGTAGTGTTTCTAACATATCTTTATTTTCTGCTTGAAAAACACCCTTATCTACAAATTTGGTGTATTATTCTTTAGAAAAGCTACTGTTTTGTTTTTGTTTTTTTCTGTACACAAATTAATCATAGAATAGAATAGAATAGTGTTTAGTCTTAGAATAAAATGTTTAGTTCTAGAATAAAACAGATTGTTAATGTGGAACCCACCAATAACTGTAAAACATTTAAAGAGCAGGTCCGTATCTAGAAACCTGTGGGGATGACTCTGTCATGTTCTGTAAATGGCCTGGAAATCTTTCTGTGCTTGTTATTTAGTTTTGGTGATGAGTGTTATAAGTAACAGGTCACGAGACAGCACTTGTCATTAAGCAACAACCTTCAGCATGTACATTATACAGGAAAAGCAGCAGATACATATGTCAATCAAGTGAAAACGCCTAGTTCCTTTATGTTGTAATAGAGCACACATAGTTCATGTGCCTCCTTTTTGCATTTAATCATTTAAGAAACACAAAAAAATTGCCATTTTCCATTTGCTCAACGTTCTCTGTTTCATTTTGTGGATTTGAGACTGTATGAGAGCATACAGTTCAACTGGAAAACAGTTCCCTTTGTAATGCATTCCATTGAAACCAAACCACAGTCTGCACAGACCCGGAATTTTCTGCAGTGTAATTGCTTAAACTTTTCCAGCTCACTATTAATTGCTATGATTTCCTTTTTGTTCCCTGTCACTGTCTCAAAAATGTTATTTTTCACAAAGAACTATTGTATCATAGAGTAACTTTTAGAATTTTTTTTTGTGGTCATGTTAAAATCAGTTTCAAAAGTGTTCTACAAAACATTTCACGATGTGAAATGGTACAGTGACTTATTAGTCTGCAATTGTATCTGAATATTGCGCCACTCCTATGCAAAAATTATCAGACATCAATTACTCTGCTCTTAAACATCCTTAATGTTATAGTCTTACCTTTAGCAGTCAGCTGTTCAGCGATACTGGTGCTCTTCTTTTCACTTCTCTTTCCAGCTGAAGTGGGTCCCCACCCTTATCTTCTAAACAGTTTAGATGGTTTCTTCAGATTCCTGTCAGCTTCCACACACTCATCTGGTCATCCCCTTTACCATCAGCCACTGAGTACAATGCACTGTCAGGCTTTTTCAAAAGCTCTCGCAGGCTCACTCACATTATTGGGAAATGAGTCAGGGGGATCATGCTGGTTTAGGTCCCCACCCCCTCGCTGGCCTTTAAAGAGCTGGGTTGGATTAGCCTGGATATGGGTATGAGCAAGAGAGGCTGGAAGCTTCTTTCTTTCGACTCTTAATGTTACGTGGTTTATGTAGACAGGAAAAAATAGGTTGTGTTTATGGGTGGGACACATTTCCTGCTTTGTTGTTTCACTTTAAAAAGGGTGGATTGCTTTTTCAAGAAACGGAAATCAGATGAATGACAGCATAGGAATTCGAAACATTCACTGTTGCTTCTGCACTCAACACCAAAACAACCTAATTTTAAACACTAGGATGATTTGTGGTGTAAATGATGAAACTTGGCTTAAGATCATGCAGATAAGGCATAGTTATCTTGTCCAAGCCACACAGCATCGGATAGGGCTTTCAGACAACACAAGACACATACTTGTTAGATGACACCCTCAAAATCTTTTGCTGTCACAGTAAAAGTTGAGTGCACAATTAAATTATAGGACAATAGGCTGTATAAGGCATCTAACACTGTTGTGCGTACTAGGGGCGTAACGATACATGTTTTTTCAGGTTTTATACATTATTTTCAATATTGTATGTGTTAAAAAATGTCTGCAGAGCATATTGATTTGGCTCAGGACAAATTGACATTCTCTGATTTCAATGCTTGCTGCGACCAACCTCTTACAAAATAAACTCAAAAAATCACAACCCCAACAAGTTATAAGCACCCTAAGAAAAAAAGCTTAGTCATTTGAATGTAGGTGCATGCATAGTAAAGGCCCTCCCACTTTAGTCTGGCTGGATACACTCAGCCACCTAATTTTGATCAATGAAATATTGCTATTGATTTTAAATTTTGGTACACTGTTTAAAACGTTCATTTATTTGTTTTGATACTGTGTTTAAATAATTACACTCATAGGGCATACAGCTGAAATATATTGCACTGTTTTGAGTTATTTATTCAAAACAGATGATGATCTTACAACCTGGTAATCGGACCAAGGGTTGTCATCAGTTTTCCAATCAGTCACTAGATCTTTCACTTATATGGTGCCTGATGTTGCAGATGTTCCTTAAACCCTTAAAAGTCTTTGACTTTCCTGCCCATTAAGACCAACTTCATGATGATGACTTCAGGCTACAACTGTCAACAACAGTTACCAAATTTGTATGACTATTTAACTGTGTGCATGGAGGACAAATTTTACATTGTAGGATAAGTTATGTGTTATTAGGTCTGTTTACATGTCAACATCTGAGCCGGGTAAATCATTCTTTGAGAGCATGACAGCAGGGGGCACTCTAAAACTTACATATCCTATTTGTTTTCTGGGGTGAAAGTTGCTGGTTCAGTTGTCCATAATATACTTGGTAACTCTGTCTCTCCTTCTTTTCATGTTATTAATGTTATTGATTGCCATGTAATACTGTTCATAGCAACAGGTCAAAAGCAAAGTTTCCTATTATGCCTCAGTCCATACTCTGTCTCTCCTTATCAAATTTTAGCACTACCAGTTTGGGAGGGTGGCGGTGGGATGCATACATCGTGATTACTGTATGTAAACCAGTAGTTTTCAACAGAAGTCGTTATTTCTGTTGCTGCTCATGGACTGTGTGTGTGGGTGTGTGTAGGCTGGCAGAGTTTGCGCTGTCTTATCTTATTTTGGTGTCTGTGTGGATGACAGATACATTGTTCCCGTTGAGACCTTGTCTGTTGACGTAGGACACATATCAGTGGGAATGCCAGTGCCAACCACATTTAGCCACATGAACCAGCAACAAAGGGTGTAATTAATGTGACAGTGAGAATGGCTTTTACGGCCAAATCAAACACATGCACTTTAGTTGAGTCACACTGGTCCACCATACAAGATTTGGCACTGAAAAGTCATTTTGGGCTGAGCAGTTGGTGTTCTAAAGCCAGATACTGCATGGAAGCTTGGTATAAATATTCAAATGTTGGCCCAATGCACATAACTCCATTTCATACTGATAGCCCTTCTCTAACTCTGCTTTTCTGATTTCCTTCCTCCACTGATTTTGCTATGCTTTGAAAGTTTGAGCTGTAAACAGCAAAGATTGAGGTGTTGGCCAGAGGACAAGACATTTCTTACTGAGAGCGCTCATCTCCTTTGGGCTTCAATACATTTAGCAGAAAGTTTACTCAAAGCACATTCTCGCATTTCAGACTGATGGTACAGCAACAGCACACTGTTAACTCCTCTTTCATCCCTCTATTGCATGAAAACTTACAAATCATCAAACTCATTGATTTCTCAGCTCAAGCAAATTTCATTCTCATTTTTGAAGCTCTTGAAATGTTTACAGTTTATTTCTGCATCTGTGGTGCTAGCTAACATAATTATTTAGCTTTGTTTCTCACAGTATAGTGAGTGTGTAGCCCTAATGTTGGTTAAACAGCTTGCAGATTAGGTGGTCACGCACTCTGGATAGCTTTTTCTTTCTCCTACTGTCTCTTTTTAAGTGATAAAATATAGTTGGAGCCTGAAAGTCTGGCAGGGTTACACTATTGCATTAAACACAACTATTTTGTTTACACCTGTGATAGCTTTGATCCTAGTGGCTTCATAATGAGACCACCTTTAACCTACTGTTAACATACTTCTCAGCTGAAAACTAAATGCTGTGAACTGGGAGATCAAAATGGCTAAGAAATCTCTAACACTTCTAACAACATTCTGACAGAGGCGAGAAGGTAAGGCTCCCGTCAAATCTCACATCATTTTTTCTTATTTGCGCTCACATGCAAAGTATGTGCCAATATAAATGTGAAAACACACTTACCCATTACTGGAAAAGGAGAGATCACATAGTGTACTTCACTTGTGTGAATCGGTATCAACAGGGGAAAAACAGGAAGCACCCCATTTATAATACTAACATAATGTAGATAAGAAGCAAACACTGCAATTGTTATTATCTCTATTCTCTGTATCTCCTCTGCCCTTATAAAGGCTTCTAATGCGGTTGTAGAACATTCCAGTATATTAGTAAAATTTAGTTATGAACATTTCTAGCAGCATAGTAAATGAGACATATAGGGCATTAGGACCCATGATCACTATAGTTCACAAAGAGCAGAACACTTTCCTGGCCTTTTACTGAGCTAAGTAAAAATATGATTTTACAGTGTACAGCATGTACATATGAGGACTGAGATTACTTCCTTTAATGTTGTCACAGCTGAAGGGAATTTTGTCATCACATGTGCAGAATGAATTTGCATTAACCTGTTTGTTTTTGACCAATGTAAAGGCTGTATTATGGTAGATATAATAAAAAATAAAAAAATTGAGTTTTTTAATTTAATTAGTTTCATAATTACTTAATTATATAAAGAAAAGGTTTATTATTGTGCTATTGTAATAATTGTTTTAACAATCATATCTTATTTGTTACCCTTAGAAAAGTCTTGGGGGGAAGTAAAAATAAATGATAAACATAAATTATACTACCTTAACTTTTTGTTTCTGAAAGTTTTTTTTAATATTGAACAAGAAATATATATTTTGTTGTACATCATATTTAACTGAACTGTGCTCTCCAGGAACATAAAATGTTAGTAACACTTTATAATTTAACTTTAACTTTGTTTAATAAAACATTAACTGACCATTAATAGCTGTTAACAAAACATTAGTTAAATGGGCCCAAAATTTTATTAAACATCTTATATCAGATACTGAAATTTTTCAGTGATTTTTCAGTTCAGCCTAAAAATATTTCACATGGTAACAAGTAAATTAACTAGTTTTATTCAACTTAAATAAATACTTTCAATAAATAGTTCTTCCAATCAAAGTAATGGTTTGAGTTAAATAAAATCAGTTCAATTGCTTGTTACCACATGAAGTCATTTTTTAGGCTAAACTGATGAACCCTTTTTTACAGTATAAGAAAAGCTCAATTTGCATTGAAGATCCTGTAGTTACTGAATAATAAGCCTTAGTAAGTCATAACCCTGGAATTTCAAGGGGTTAATCAAAATTTAAAAATGTACAAATAAACCTAAATGACAGTTCATGTACACTCTTTAAAAAGATGGTTCTTTAAGGGTTCTTTAGTAAAGACAATGGTTCTATACAGAACCATGAACACTCAAAGAACTATGTGCATGATTAAGTGGTTCTTTGCATGGTGAAATGGCTCTCCAGATTGACCGAGAATGTGTTGTATATGGTTCTGTATAGAACCTTTTTGAAAAGGGCTCTATATAGCACCCAAAAGGGTTCTTCTGTTGTTTCAAGCTTAACATTTTTATATTTTTCTTTCCGGTATGTAAATATGATAATAGATTATGTGTGAAGTTATAGCTACTATTAACAGATGTGTGGAAAATATGTATTCATTAGTTATAGACCTTCTTACAGTAGCACATTACAGAAAAGTAGAAACTAAATAAAGTACTTTTTTTTTAATAGTTTCCTTTGTCTTGTATAGCACTGTAATGCCCCAAACAGGGCAGAGTCACTCAGACTGAGTAAGAATTCAGTATTCCAGAATTGCTGCAATCTGACGGCATAGTGACCTAACAGTGCATGTTACACAGACCAGCACAGATGAGGCCTCCATCACATCTGTCATGTAAACATGGAAAAACATGCCAAATTTGATTTAATGCAAGAAGTAAAGTATTAAAATGGCTGCAAATTTTCATGCCTTGCACTTTTCACATCTGAAGTGTGCCTGATTTCCAAATCACACTGAAAGTATATGTGAGAAGTGCTTGTCATGTGAAATGGAGCAACATGCTGTTGTGGTTTCTGCTCTTATTTGGCAGAAACTACATTCTGCACTCATTTGTAGTTTTTTGTACTGCTGTTGTAGTTTTCTGAACTTGCCAAATGAGTTCAGAGACTACAACTGCGCGTTGCTCAGGCTTTATTTTGGTAAAGTCACATGACGGCACTTATCGCCTTTCTTTTAGAAGCATAAACTGATTCTGAACAGTTTCACCTTTACTTTAGCTACTGCAGCAACATCTAAAGAATAGATATATTACACACATCTGTTCAGTAATTCACTGTGATGATTTGTATATATGAACTGATGCTGTACAACTCTTTATTTATTAATGAAGGGGTTTGTTGTAAATGTACAGGAAGCAGCATGTACAGCATTTGCAAATATGAATACTCACATAAACAGCCACATGAACTGGCCTTATAAACATTTGTACATTTTCAAATTTAGAGTAATTAATGGTTTGTTCACAGCTATTAATGGTCAGTTAAATGTTTATTAGACAAAGTGTTTATAAAGAGTTAACCACTCTAGGACTGTCAGAGAGAGAGAGAGAGCAGCAGAGCTGTTTACGATTCGGGTTGGTGGGCTGGTCTCTGGGAGTACAGGCTAGCTTCCTCACTCTTTCCTCTTGCAGTTGTTTTTGGAGGTTTTGGTCTATTGAGGTTCTGGAAAAGGGAGGCATGGTTTGGCACTGCACCTGGAAATGTGTTACAACCAGTAGTCAGTACTCCTTATTTTCCATTTCAGTCCCAAAGACAAATTAGTGTGAAAGTATTCATTAAAATGACTGCTTAGAGTGAAAGTCTAACATTTTCCATTGTTGATCATCTTCAGTATTAGAAGTGAAAATAGACATGCTTTATAAAACATTATGTGGAACAATTAACTACAGACTTACAGTTATCTTGTTGCAGAGATTCTAAATATTGATACAAAGACCTGAAGGCTCTTTTTCAGTGACAGCAGCTTAGCTAATCAGTCAGAAAGTTTTTGGAACCACTACATCATGGCCATCTAGCCACATGTGGGGTAAAGCTCTGAAAAGTGTCAATCCAAGGGCTGATGCTAAGCTCACAAGGATGAAACATTTATTCCCACTTGGGTTTTTAGGAATTTGACTGTCTGAACTATGATGAAAAACAAAGGATGCTTTGCATCATCTGCTGTGTGCACCACACTTTGGCTGAGAAGTCAATAGCTATTAAGTTGCTCACAATATATCATAGCTTTCCAAACAAAAAGGTATCTACAAAACTTTATGGGGGAAGGCAAAACATTCTTAATTTTAATGTAAGTTAATGTAAGCAAGTTTTACTCAAAGCGTTTTTGAAGCATTTCTATTGGTCCAATCAGCATGAAATCTTTACCCATTATAAAGGACAGCTTCTGTGTTCAAATGATGTATAAAATAAAAAGAGACAAAACATGGACCTGTTTTTCTTTGGACAGTGACCAAATGCCATATGTATCCTTTATCTTTGATAACATTGGTGTTATATAATGTTAATAAGCATGACTTGGTTAATCCGAGCTAGTTAGTCTCTTTAATTTTATTGACTTTTTATTATGTGTTAGCACTCCAGCTGGCCATTTAGCACCAGTTGTAAGATTTACCTCAGAAAATCATCTGAACTTGTGAATGAGTGAGAAGAGAGAGAGGAAGCGAGTGAGTGAGTAATGATGATTGAGAGAGTGACAAGATGACCTTTAAAAACACTGAGAACGTAGCACCATTTAAATACAGTCAGCTGAAATCTCTCTTTTTATCTCTCATTAAAAGAGCTGCAAAATTTGGCTCAACAGATAAATTAGCTACCAGACTACTACAGTTATATGTAGAAGTTCAGATCTTTACTGAAGGAGTCACTGAAGAATTTCAACATACAGAGTGAATAAAATATGTAATTAAGCTCCTGCTGTGGTTAAGCTCAAGCTACAATGAAATATTAATGCACATTATGGTCAGCTTGGCATGAACATACCGCAAATCTCATAAGGGTGATAATATGTCACAATGTAGTATATGGTTTTATGTTATGATTTTATATGAAAGCCATGTTTTATAGTCAAAATTTTAACAAGGTATGTTTAGGAAACAATGCACTGTTGCGCAAGTTGTTTGAGATGTAACCGAACTGTCCTGGATGGAATTCAATCGCAGCTTAACCAAAGTGTATCAGACCAGTGATGAAGTCTATTGAATTATTATTTATTTACTTGTGTTGTTTTTATATTGTTTCAAAAATGTATCATGATGCATATCATTTGAAAAAGGTAGATAAACACCCCAGCAGACAAACCAAGCTTCATAATTTAATTATGTTGCATTCTGCTCCTTCAACAGATGTCAACTGAAACCTTTATATGAAATATGACTGTTAGAAAATGCATTAGAGTAAAATTCACATTGTATGTGCAAGTTGTCAAAAACAGAAGTACCCTTAAATTGTAGTAGAAAAGCCTCCCACGGCATACGGAAAGTGTCACAGTTCAGTGGTGTATTTAAAGCATGGACACAGCACTTCTCTGGAGAACGCTGACTGGCCTTTAGTGACTTTGGCATTTAATGACTCTGCTAAATCAGTAGCCTGATCTTGTGCCAAGGTTAGCTGTTTAACAGTTTGCTTTAGTGTGATACAGATGCAGTGATGGTAATGATTGTATAGTCCATTGTGGGGAAAGTTAGATACTGTGACAGCTTTTATCTTGTTTGTCTACATACACAGTGCTGAGCAAACGTTTAAGGCACCTGAGAAAGTAAGATTTGAAAAAAAAAACATCTAGGTTGTAAGTGTTTATTTGTTGATATTAAAATAAATGCAAGTACTATTAACTCATTGAGTAATGATTTTAATGTATGTCAATGTGTTTGTTTACTCATTTTCAAACCTGTCACAGTGGGAACCCAGTACTAATTGTAATCATCACCTAATACCTGATTTAGCTAATTAACACTTCATTATGTTAAATCAGGCGTGCTTGTGATGGACTTTAAAAAAATCTATGTGATTTCTGGGTGCATCAAGGAGAAATCTGGATTTTTCTTCTCTCCCCAATTTAGACTTCTTGCCAATTCCACCCACCAACTAGTCTATCTCATTAACACAG